AAGGCACAAAAAACCAGAAATTAAACCCCTTCAGACTTCTTGAATAGGCTTAAAGAGGCTGCACAAAAATTCACAAGTCTTGACTAAAAGGCATCTGCAGACTCACCTAGCTTATTTGTTTATAGGCTAATCTGCAGATGACATAAAGAAAAAGCTGCCAAGGATGTATGAGACACATGACATAGGTAAATTGTTGAATTCAGCCTGGAAGAAATAGCTATGTGTGTGTATATATATATATATATATATATATATATATATATATATATAAAACAGAGATTCAACAGACAGGGATAGGCGCCAGCAGAATAAAAAGGGTGATCAGGAAAAGTCATCTAATGTGTTGAAAAGGAGTTCTTCTCCTCTAGACAAAGATCAGTGTGGTGTTTGCAAGGAAAAGGGATACTGGAAGAATGAATGTCTGATGCAGGCAAACAGGACACCCCCAATACCTGAATTAGCTGTGAATGGGAACTGACAAGGATCGAAGGGACTATCCCTCCAGCAGAACTTTCAGTTGTAGCTAAGCCAGGGAAGGATGATGGTGAATTTCTGGTAAACATGGGGGAACATATTCTGCATTAAATACTTTAAAAGGGAAACTGAGTCAAGAGACTGTAAATATGATCAGTGTACAGGGTCTTCACAGGGTCAGTGAAACAAGGTCTTTCTTCTGACGTTTAAAATTTAAGTTAGGAAAACAGTGGGTGACTCACCAATTCCTTTATATGCCAAATTCCCCAAAGGCATTATTAGGTAGGGATTTATTGGAGAAATTAGAAGCAGGAATCACATTTTCCAAAGAAAGTGGGAGTGAAAGTTGCAATTTCTGAAACTAAATTTGTCAAAGAAGCTATTTTCATATAGGGGAATTATGGTGAAATTCCCAAAGAAGTTGAAGATGCTGTCGTTCCAATAGTGTGGGCCTATGACTTTCCTGGGAGACCCAGAAGAGCTGAGCCTGTGAGTATTACACTCAAATTAGGGGCTACACCAGTAAGGCAGAAACAATACCGTTTGAAGTTAGAAGGCTATAGGGAATTGGCCTCTATAACTGAGAAGTTCCTTAAATTTGGGTTTAGAGGAATATGAATCTAGATACAACACACCCATCCTTCCAGTAAAGAAGGCTGATGGTAAGAGTTACAGATTAGTGCAGGATTTAAGAGAAATTAACAAAACAACAGAAGATACATACCCAGTTGTAGCAAACCCCTACATTCTTTTGATCATGCTGACAGATGAATTAGGGTGGTTTACTGTTTTAGATCTCAAGGATGCCTTTTTCTGTATTCCTGTGAATAAGAATAGCCAAGAACTCTGCTTTTGAGTGAGATAATCCTGAGACATGAAGGAAAACACAGTTTAACTGGATAGTTCTACCCCAGGAGTTCAAAAATAGACCAACAATATTCAGAAACCAGCTGGCAAAGGAACTGGAGGACTGGAAAAGACAAGAACCAGGAGTGATTATTCTTTATTATGTTGATGATACCTGAATTGCAGCTAGAATGCAAGGTGACTGTATCCAACTCAGTATATGTCTGTTGAACTTTTTGGGACTAAATGAGTATAGAGTCTTGAAAGAGAAGGCATAGGTTGCCAAGGAAACTGTAGTTTACTTGGGGCTAGAAATCTTCTGTGGACATTGACAACTCAGCAGAGATCAGAAGGAAGTCGTCTGCCATCTTCCACAGCCCCACACTGTGAAAGAGATGCAAGCCTTCCTGGGATGGGTAGATTGGTGCCACTGATGGATGCCAAATTATGGACTACTGGTAAAACCTCTGAGCCCTTAAGGCAGATGAAAAGGGAACCATCATGTGGACAGAGAACACCAGGGCTGCACTTAAGCAGCTGAAACATCCCTTGATGTCACCCCCAGCTCTGGGGCTGCAGGACTTGACCAAGCCTTTATTTATGAGTGGCTGAATGTTGCTCTGGGGGTACTGGTGCAGCACCTTGGAGGTCAATTAAAAGCTGTGGTCTCCTTTTCAAAACATCTGTGTTAGTCAAAGATGGCCTGGGTGTTTGAAAGCTGTGGTGGCTACTGTTGTCCTGATACAAGAGGCCCATAAATTCACCCTTGGGCAGCACAAATTCAAGTATGTGCCCCACACACTGATAACTGTGCTGGAACAAAAGGGAGGACACTGGCTATCTCCTAGCAGAATGCTTAAGTATAACTGTGTTGTTGGAAAGAAATGATGTTACCCGAAAAACAACATCTGTTGCAAATCCTGCAATGTTTTTGTCATCTACATTAATTGACAACATGCCTGAGCATGACTGTTTACAGAAAATAGAAGAGGCGTATTGCAGCAGACCAGACCTGAAGGACATGCCTCTGGACAATCCAGAATGTATACAGATGGAAGTAGCTTCATGAGAAACAGTAAGCAAATTAATGCAGTGACAGCCATGAATAAGGTGATTGAGGCAAAGGCCTTGCCATCAGATGTATCATCACAGGAGGCTGAACTCATTGCACTGACAAGAGCTGTAGAACTGAGTGAGGGCAAGAAGGTGAGTATATGGACTGATTCCAAATGTGCCTTTAGTGTTGTCCATGCCATGGAGCCATTTGGAAGGAGGGAGGGCTATGAACTGCTCAAGGTAATGAAATCAAGTGTGTTGAACAGATCCTCACACTCCTGCAGAGTATCTGAAAGATTTCAGAGGTAGCTATTATGCATTGCAGAGGTCATCAAAAAGGGAAAACAAGTCCCCAGCTGGGAAATTGCTTTGCTGATGAAACCATGACTCAGGGTTGGCCCCACAATTTGCATGGGGCCTGTCTTCAATCCAGAAGGTGTCCAAAGCTCTTAATAAGAACAGTTACTGGATTGTAATCAATTGCCATCTTTAGATGGGAGTCGTAACTGGCTACTGATTGGTGTTTTAATGGAAGCAAACCGTACTGAAAGGTGGAAACAAGTAAATAATACTCTTTGGCCCCTGAGTGGCCTAATAGGTCACGGGAATGATACAGTTCCCTGTATAGTTACAAAAGCTACAGAAGTAGTCATCCTTCCTTCATACTGCCATGGAAAGAATAAGCCCAAGAACTGTGAGGAAAAAAGGAATTAACATGGAGACTAGTTCAACTACTGTGATAGAGACTAGTTCAACCACTCAGGACAGAGTTGTATTAGATATGTGATGGTAAGGCCTGAAAAATCCTGCCCATATATAAAGCTCTGGTTTGTACCCTTGGGGCTGTAATTTCAAATATAGCGATATTTGATCATATTAAAAATCAAAATGGGAGGAGGAAAAGATCTATTAATCCCCTCACTGAATGTCGTTGAATGTTTCCATAGTATAATCAGAACTCTTATTCCCTCTTTCAGAATAGTCAGGCTGGAGAGGGCAGTTATAAACATCTCAGCCATTATTGAACATGTTGAATGGAAGACTGAGAATGCAATTTTGGCCTTAAAGGAAGAAGTCCATGGTCTGTCTCATGGTTATGCAGAACAGAATTGCTCTCAATTTCATACTGGCTGCACAAGGAGGTACATGTGTTATTATTAATACTACTTGTTCTTATGTGGGTCAGAGTGGAAGAATTGAGAAGGATTTGGCTGAAATTTGGAAGCAGACTCAAATTTTACATAAAGTAGCTTTCAGAAATAAGACCTTTAACTATAACTTCAACACCCTTATCTCATGGTTATCAAACTGGGCCTGGATAAAAGAAGTATTCATAGTAGTTATAGTTGGTATCTGTATAATAACTAGTGGGATAGCCAGTTGTGTGAAGTGGTACTGTGGTAAACACAGAGTAGAGACTAGACAAGGCAGAGTATTGCTTGTCTCTAAAAAGCGGGGAGAATGATGCTTGATTTGTGTGATTTTTTTCTTTTATATATTCTCTGTTTTCTTTACACAAATATTTGCAGTAGTCGACTATTGTAACTTTACTTCAGTATTTTCCTAGGGAGAAGGGACAAAACACATTCCAAGACCCCTATGCTATTTCAGCTCTCCTTAGAAAGCAAGACTGAAAACAGCTTTTCAAGACATATTTTTTAAAAACAGAGTTTAGGCCTCATCCGTTGGGGGGAAGACTTAGAAGGTTCTAGACTAGGGGACATGACTAGGCTGAGTGTACAACTAATTGGGGATGCTTCCTGATACGCTAATTTGCAAAATCTATAAAAATTGTACACATTATGCAGGGTGTGCATCTTCAGTGTTTTCCAGCTGATGAATTGTGTATCTAAGGATCCTTATATAAAGGTAACCCCCTTTTATCGCTCTGTGTCTGGCTCATATTTCTAGGACTACAGAAGAAGGCATCAGTATATGCTAAAAGGATACAAAAAAAAAGGATAGCCAGAAGAAAAACAGATCCCAAATACTCACTGAGGAAACAATGTCCTGAATCAAGTCATATTTGCTTAGCAATAAGGGAACTGGTAACTGATGGTGACCTTTTACTAATAGTGATGCATGTGAATACAAAATGAGTTACTTGCTTATGGGAAGTGTGGCTGATGCTTTCTACAAACTGAGTTCTACTCCTTTTTAGGTGGTCTGCATGAATGATGGGAAGGATTTGATATGGCAGAGGGAAGGAGAGAGAACTTCTGTGGTTGAAATAGCTGTATTGGCACACAGCTTTGCATATGAATTTCTCATACAACTACTATCCATTAGGACTGGAATCCTAATGGTCTGGACATTAAACAGAATTAGAGAAAAAAGGAAATATACTTCTAAATTGTTTATGCTTGTGGTCTATTCATGTGCATGGCAAAACAGATTTAGTACTAAAGCATAAAAATCTACAACATAAACAAAGCAGTCAAATAAGACAATGGAGACAAAATGGAAATGTAACAGATTAAACAAACAGTAGGATCTACATTTTATCACATAGAATTCTAGCAAAAAAAATAATATTCTCAGCTCACTGCAAGAACTGGCTCTTCTCAGCATGGTCAGCTGTTTGAAATATTATATCCAATATAAACCTCCACGTAAGGCTTGATAAATCTTTTGTGAAGACTATATAGCTGTTTTTTTTTAATTCATAAAGGAAAAGCAATAGTAATCATTAAGGTAAAAGAAGATTAACTGAGCACATAAACAGCAGGCAAATAGAATTAAAACTGTAAATTGAACTTCACTTGATCACAGAATCAGTTAGATTAATCAATCATCTGAGAACATCAAATCCAACCTTTGACCAGACATCAGCCTGTCAAGTAGATCATGGCACAAAGTACCCCATCCAGTCTTCTCTTAAATACCACACATCCATCCAGGGATGGATGACTCCACAGCCTCTCCAGGTGGCTTGTTCCAATGCTTAACAACTCTTCCTGTGAAGAAATTCTTCCTGATATCCAGCCTGAACTCCCCTGGTTCAGATTGTCCTTTCATCCTAGTCACCTGAGAGAAGAGGTCAGTCTCACTTAGTTACATCCTTCTTTCAGGTAGTTTTAGGAAGTGATAAGACTCCTGAGTCTCCTTTTCTCCAGGCTAAGTAACCCCAGATCCCTCAGCTTCTCCTCAAATGACTTACCTCTAGACTCTTCAGCAGCTTCACAGCCTTTCTCTAGACAATGTAGGGAACAGAAAAATCGTGAATGATCTGAGGGTAAAAACAAATGTCTTCATCAGTCTTGGAATGCTGTCTCTCTAATGAGACCACAAAGTGGCATTAAAAATCAATCATTTTGGTTTACTGGTCTGTTTTCTAATTAATTATCACAAAGAAGCAATGTGATCCCTGAAAAGAGTGCAGGTAGCTGCTGTATTGGGATCCTTGCAGAAGACGTTAAACCTGAAGAGCTGGTGATCTTGAAAAGATGCATTTCTCCTATTGGAACTTGCACTTGAGGATGCCGTATATTATTAATGTGATTTGTAAATTAAAACATCTATTTGGGAAAGGTAAACTGTATAGGGATCAAGGGATGGAATGTATTGATCCTGATGGGAGATCAGTGTACACAGTGTACACTGTAACTAACGTGGGACTGTGCAGGCAGCTGCCTGCAGACAGCTTCTGATCAGCACTGCAATGATACCTCCTGCATGGACTTGCCCTTAAACAGACCTGTTTTCTTGTAAGGAAGTTAAAGATGACCTCAAATTACTTAAAGGGTGAGTTTCTTCCCCCAGACAGTATCTGCTCTCTGCAGTGTGCCATGGGAAAATCCACTGGGGCACTGTTCAATGGTGCATGCAGTGCCCAGCACCTGAGGAGATGTAAGATGTTACTATCTACACACCTCTTCTTAGCCTGTCTTTTTGAAGTAACCTTATTAAGCCACTTGTTGGGTCTTTCTCATTGAAATATAGAGAGGCACCTGCACCAGCTCACTCTCACTTCACCCCACACCTCCATGCAGAACAGATGGTATTTGGTGTTATCAGGCCAAAGAAATAGAGGTTTGCTTAACTACTTTTTGGAAATAAGAACGGTAAAAACGGAAGATTATTTCATTAGAGGAATTTTTAACTCCATAGGGAAACTTAAAGAGAAGTACCAATATATATATGATACACTAGAGAGAATTTGGACTCTTTTTTTGTTAAAATACTACCACCTTAAGGTCACCTGTAAAGAGACTAGCAGAGACTCTATGAGAATGGGTATAGCAACACTGGAAATAATCAGCACATGAATATTTTTCAGCTGTTAAAATAATGAAAGCACAGAACTCCAAATAAAGCTCAGCCTATGTGCAACTACAGGCTTTTTTTCTGGAAAATATTAAGTCTTATTTAATAAAGAAATACTAATAAACAGATTGCTTTGATAATGAGCACTGATGATGATCTTGAACTCATAAGCTATATATTATAAACAAATCTGGTCATTATGAGATTAAACACTTTCAGTGAAAAGTATCTGTAATGTCAATGAGTAACTTTGATTATGGGTCATAATTATGGCCATAAGTATATGGGTCAGAGTTCTAATTCTTAAACTATTCTTTGTAATTTGCAATTGTAATAATGTAAAGGAACCAAAAAAATAGATTTACAAGTAGAAATTTATTACAAATTGCAGTGAGAGTTCCCAAGTCACTTACCTAAATAAATAACAGCTTTTTGAAAGCTATCTGGAATAGTAAATTACTCACTTGTATGAATGTGCCAATATTTAGTAAGTTCTATGATCCACAAATTTTATGTAAAGGGAACAAGATTAAGTGTATGCATATACAAACAATAAATCATACCTTCATACGAAAACTTGGAAAACTATTGCATGTGAAGGTATACATTCTCATGCACGTTATGCTGTGAATGCTAAAAACCTTCAGAGTACTAACAACGTGGAAAACAACTTAGACACTCTCCATTGCTAATAGCACATTACCAGAAACTTAAAATGGTATTTCTGTATTGTTAAAGTTCTCTTCTATCTAACTGACATTTTACTCATCAAAACAAAATTCAGGTTTTCCATCTTTTTGGATGGAAAGAACAGTAGGGGGAGCTCAAAGCTTTTTTTTTTTTTTTTTTACTTGTAAATCTCAGCCTTATGACTAGGTTCTTAGCAGAAGCAGATATAAGTGACAAAAGTTTTCCCTCATAAGAAGTTTGAATATCCTACATAGTTCAAAATACAGCTACAATTACTCTCAGTATCCAAACTAAAATTTAACCACTGATTATTCTGAAAATTTCCCAGTCTCTTCAAAGTTGCAGTTCTGTTAAACACTCTTTATTTTGGGGTAAAAGGAAATTATCTACTTTCATTCTCCTTAAATATGTAACCATCAAAACAAAACCGAAATTTCAGATGATTCTTTAATTTAGATTCTATGTAAGGCAATGGAAATCCACAATTCAAAATACTGTCAGATTAGGAAGCAGTCCCATAGAAATACAGTACACTGACAATTATACCCATACCAGGGTAATATATGGGTTTTATCCAAAATGGTATTTAAAAAATCTTAGCACTCTATCCAATTGTCTATGTATGTCCAAAGCAGCATTTTCTAAGTGTTGAAAAGTCTCTTTTCTCTGTCTCTTAGGACACGTTATCCTTTTCCCTACTAATGAATTTCTGTAATCCCCTTAAATATTATTATAGATTCACCAATCTTCCTTAAGAGTATAGTGTACTATCTAAATTCCATGTTTACTGCAGGGGAATTTGACTAATAACAGCAATCACTGCACTGCTACTGTTAGCTGTGCATCTCAAGCATGACAATTTTTTCTATTTCTGACCAAATTCAAGCTCACAAATGGTCCCATGCTGGTTCAGGAAACATACTATCTGGCTATCTGAGGTTATAGTTATATAAACTGAGGTTATAGGTATGACTAAAGTTATGTAACTGTAACTATAGTTATAAAATGAGGCTTGCAATCCAACCCACATTTTTACTTAAGTACGTAACTGAGTGCCTTGATTCCTGTTCAATACTTCCTAAAGTATCAAATGGAAGCAAATTATTTTGCTATCTTCAAACTCAGTTTTCTCCATTACTTTAAATACTTCCACGGAAATACTACTTTTGTCAAGTATTTGTGATGGCTTTACGTAAGACTTAATAAGGACCATTTTTTCTAAGTACCACAAGCTTTTCTAATAGATCTTCGTATAGAGAAAGAAAGAAATACCTCCTGTATTAGAGTACTTGCACTTAGAGGAAAACACTGATCACCTGTTGTCCTAAGATCCTTCTCTGCATTCACTTTAAAACCATAAATACTTGAAACAGTCTCCTGATGGACTTCCGTTATAATGTTTTTAAATTATATATATCAATAAAAATAATTTAATTGCACATCTGAAAATGCAATTGACTAGGTTATAATTTTTATCCTTATATCACTTATCCCTCACACATTTCCTTATGATTTTCATTAGGAGATTTGGTAGTAAGGTGCAAAATATATTGATGCTCCTATTAATACAAGACAATATGTATATACAAAGTACAGAATTCATTCTGAAGGCTTCTAAATTCTTGCATTTATTTTGTGTATAAATTGCACATTGAAAAGATAATTTTATGAAGTATTACATGCAAGTGGGTATTTATTTTCTGTTCATCTTCACTGGAAAAAGAATTTTTCATTTTACATACCAAACTTTGGCACAAGATGGTGAAGAATATTGAAGAATGCTTTGATTTTGGACAAGTCTTCCATTATAAAATTACGGGCAATGAGATAGTTATCCATGGTCATTCTAGTGACGTACTTTGGATTGCAAGAAAATAACCTCAGAACTACCTCTCTCTGGGTAAAGTGTAACTCTTGCCTCCCTGTCCTGCAACTCAGTGAGAACTAAGATGGGAATGAGGGCCTATCGGTTTTTGCTTCCTAATAGTTAGACTGTTTCTGAAATAGTCACTCAACAAAGTGGAGGAGTCACACAATTACAATGTGTATGTTACATATATTAAAGGGAGCTCAAGGTCTGACACTCCTGCGTATGATAGTGAAAAACAGTGCGATTCCATTGAAAATTATGGAGTTACTATGCAACAAAGCTTAAATGAAATCAGAATTGGGAAGCATATATCCAAGCGTAGACTGTAGGGGAAGAGTAAAAGCTAGAATAGAATGTTTGAGGTCTTAGATAAATAATCCAAATATACAGTGCTGTTAGCCCAGCAAATCATGAGAAGTCCTACTGATGGCAAATGAACTAGACATTTTACAAAGCCTCTCTAGGTTAATAAATATGTGTGATTATATATATAACTTATTTTGGACTTGCACAAAAATAAGAAACCCATAAAGAATAAAAGCCACCTTGTTAAAAATTCAAGAAGCTGAAATAAAAATGTGATGTGATTAACATAATAAATGCACATAAAAGGTATTTTGACAGAAACAATAGTATTTTTATGATGCCAAAATATGAATTTATAATTTATGTCACAGAGGTGGAAGATTAGTATCCCCCATGATATATCCTGGGCTGAATAGTTACTCACAGGCTTTACTGAAACATTTGGGAGGAGATTTTAACCTATATAACTGTCAAACAATAAAAATACAAATAAGGATCCATAATTGGCATTCATTTCATGGTAAAAGCAATACAGTAGGACAAAAGTAATCAGAGAAACAGCAGGTGCCAATACTGAAGAACTATTCCTTTTCAGTCAGTGGCCATACACTGCAGTATCAGCTCATACTCTACCAATTTATTAATGTAATTTGTGTCATGTGGCTATGTCAAGTGTGGTGAGACTTTTTGCTTTGTTTTGCGTTTTTGGTTTTTTTCAGGGTTGAAATTTATGATCCTGTTCCACCACACTTGTGTAGAACAATACAGGAACAACTGGCTTATGCAGGTGATCCAGCAGCTTATTCCCACAGAAGTGGTGGTCTGGATCACACTGTGCCTACTAGACGTTTTCCATGAGAAGGACTGAAGGGTCAACTGAAACTTTGTGAAAGACAATGCAAATCCTTAAACTAACAGCAAACTCTGGGAAAATACCCAGTCAAGCAAGCAAGCAAGCAGCCAACCAACCAAAAAAATCCTAACGACCAAAAAAATTCCCACCCAACACAATACACCAGATCAGTTCCGCGCACAGCTAGGGGGCCAAATCATGCGGCTGGCAGCCTGTCCTGCGCCTGCGGCACCCCCGCCGTGCCCCCCAAGCGCAGCGCGCTGCGGGACGCGCACGGCCGAGCGCGCCGCACCAGGAGCGCTGTGACGGACAATGCT